CACGTATGATCTGATGATTTGATCTCAGAAAGGGGTCTCTGAACCTTTCCAGGACTCTCCGTTCTTCTAATGTCTGAATTTCAGCCAGGAGGTGGATCTCAGAATTTCTAGTCCGCGGGGGACTGTTTAGGACCATCCTAAGGATCTTGTTCTGGATCCTTTGGAGTTTAAAGTGATAGCATTTGGCGCAACTCATGATCAAAAGCACCAGTGATGCCACATTTTGTACAATTTCAATCTATATTTTCACCGCAAAAAATCTTTAAATCTGCATCTGGCTGACAAAAATCTGATGATGATCCCCACAAAGGCATGGCGTAGTTGACTACGGGAGCGAGGATCATTTTGAACACCAACATCTTGTTCTACTGTGAAATCCGCGGTCGTCAGCATATCAGCGAATAGAGCGATTGCAGGAGACCGATGCACCGGTGCTTCAGCTTGTCCGTGTGTTCACTATACAGGAGTTTATTGTCGATGGTACCGCCGAGGTAAAATACGTTGCTGGACCAGTTGATGGGACAGCCGTTCACAGAGACGGAACTGGTGGGGACATCTTTGGCGATTTTTGATGCTTGAAGACAATTGTTTGCGTTTTTTTTATGATCCATTTATTTGTAAAGGCTCAAATGCAGTAGCTTTGCGGAGCCAAATTCATTTACATGTATTTTTTTATAATTTGTTTTACAACTAAAGTTAGTAGAATGGGGGCCGAATACTCGCGGTTTACTCTAGATTAATAAATACATTTATTTAGAGGATTGGAAGGGGGCAAAGGGAAAGGGATATTGGTAAATCTTTTTTCTGCTTCATTCGATGGATGAGTGTCACGGCACTGTATTGGCGGGCATGTGCTGTGGATATCGAAGCATTGAAAGCACAGCTGAAATGATACAAGAGGGGACTTGGGTTGGGATAGTGATGAAAGAATGAAAGAATTAAAACACAAAACACTACTACATACACAAATTAGCACTTTTTAGAAATACGTAAATTAATCTCATAACATCGAGATCACGGCAAGCCAGAACGTCTCTAATTGGTGTATAAGGTTGTTTCCCTCAGGCCCTGAGGGATTCAATTAGTGCGGATCTCGCCACATGATGTGAGGTGCAGGACCAGACAACATGCTCAATGTCGTGATAGCCGTTTCCACAGGCACACAAACTGCTGTCTACAAGCCCTATGCGGTAGAGATGTGCGTTTAACGAGTAGTGATTGGACATGAGCCTGGACATTACCCGGATAAAATCGCGATCCACGTCCAATCCCTTGAACCAGGGTTTGATCAACACCTGTGGGAGGATCGAATGTAACCATCTTCCCAGTTCACCATCATTCCACTTTTGTTGCCAGTTGATGAGGACTTGCTGACGAGCAATTGTGAAAAATTCATTGTAGGAGATTTGTCGCTCGTAAATGTCGCCTTCCATAGCGCCCACCTTAGCCAGCTAGTTTGCTTTCTCATTGCCCGGGATAGAGCAATGAGAAGGGACCCATACTAAGGTGATGATATGTGAGCTGTTTGATAAAGCACTCAGTGACGATCGTATTTCGTTAAGAAAATACGTCGAGTGCTTCATCGGCCTCATAGAACGCATAGCCTCCAGAGAACTTAGACTACCCGAAAAAATAAAATAGTGATCAGGGGGACGTGAGGAGATCTGCTTTAACGCATACAATATAGCTGCTTGTTCTGCAACGTATACCGAACATGGTTTTTTAAGCTGATATGAGGCACTATGGAGATCATTGTATACACCAAAACCAGTTGACGCCGAGGAACATGGGCCTCATGCACAGTGGTTCCTGGCTGGTCAAAACCTCAAAAATTAAAGTTGATATTTTTTTATTTCAATATTTTTTATCATTTTTAGATGTTAATAGTATCTTAAATTGAATGATTTGTGCAGTTCTGTTGATTACATATTTGTTTATGGTTTTTATAGTGTAGTGATATCACAAATTTTTGAAAAAAATCGTAATGTTTCTTGTTACTGTTTTGCTCAAATATAGCAAAAAATAATGTGTTTATCAACTTGGTTGCTTGAGAAGAAATGTTCCTCGGCTTATTTCACGTCAAATGGATGGTAAAAAAAGAGTGTATGCACTGTTTTAAGTGACAGTTTCAAATAAAAAATTAGCAAAAATATACTTTTTTCACATTTAGACCAAGCAAAACATATGACGGACACATCCGCCCACTATCCTTTAGCAACCAAAAGATAGCTAAAAAAGCTAGCTTTCAGATAGAATTTAATGTGTTTTGCGATTTTTTGCGAAAGATGTTGAAATTAGGAATAACAAGTAAAGTGTTCTTTGGAAAATATCCGTTTCTAAGTTAAATAATCTGCGGTGTATACTGTAGCAAGCTTCACAATGCCTTTTCAAAGCACACCATCACGCACACACATACACACACGTACCATATATCAATCTCTTATGGTTCATGCGTTATGATTTAAAAAAAAAACAAGCAGGTTAGGGTGGCCCCTAGAAAATCGGAATTCTTTAAATATCTTTTCATACGTTCTTTTCTCGTGATATTTTTATACTAGACACTTTAAGAACTTTTTATGGCACATATTTTTGCTAAGTTGTTATCTCTTTTATTTGAAAAGTTATGGCTAGCTTTTGCTGAAAAATATTACTTTTTTTTTAATTAAATTAAATCAAAGACATCATATCAAGAAGACTGACCACTTTGCCAGAATCCAAGCGACAGATACAATAGCGCTGCGCTTGAGTGAAGGTGGAACCAACGCATTAAAAAATTAGCAAATTCAGAAACCTTTCTTCTGATGATGTAATCTTTGCTATCAAATTCGTTCGAAGCATTTACCTTTGAGCGGCAGATGACGCGATTGTACCTGTCTCATAGCGTTCGTATGAGAAAATGGAAGAGTTGCCAGTCTTCTTGATTTGTTGTCTTCGATTAAATGCTTTAAACAGTCAAAGCTCTTGCAGTTTTTTACAAAAAAATAAGAAAAAACGGTGTTTTCAATGAAATTAAATGTTTGAAAATCGGTTTGCTCCATTTTGAGATATTGACAATTGAAAAGAGCATTTTTTTTCGAAGAAAATAGCCTTTAACTTTCTAATCAAAAAAGATAGTAACCTAGTTACTTGAGAAAAAATATGCGTTATCAAAAGTTCTAAATGTAATCAGAACAATATTTTTACGAGAAATTAACGCATGAAAATATATTCAAAGAAACCCGATTTTAGTGGCCACCCTAACCTGCTTGTTTAAAAAAATCATAACTCATGAACCATAAAAGATAAAAACGTTGTGTCTTCAACAAAGTTGCTTTGAATTGAATGTTCTACAACTGTTTAGAAAACTGCTTTGGTCTATCTCAAATAATAAAAAAGTTTGTATTTTTAATTCAACAATTTTATGGACCACCCTAATTTTACGAACATTAAAAGATTGAACAAAACATATGAAGCAAGTTTACCTAAGAAACCATATACCTAAAACTGACGGTTTGGGCGCAAACATTTTTGTCTTCCTAAATACGCCTTTGGGACCATTGTGCATTGGTTCTGGCTCTACTATACTCCTTTTTGTGACGTCTTGAATGTCAAGTTTTCTTCGTACAGCTAAAAAACATCTATTTCAATTGTTTTATGCCTATTTGCAACAATTTTGAGGTTTTGGCCAACTTTTGTTCTAAGGGGAACCACTGTGCCATGTAGCTAATTCGTGAAAGTGCCGAGTTGCCATGAGAGAAGCTCATTTGTTTCTCGGACAATAAATTGAACAAGAAATTATTGATAATTGGTGAAAGCCCACTGGTATGGCGTTTGTCCGAAAGGATGTCGATGCAAACAGAATCAAAAGCCCCTTTAATGTCCAATAAAACTGAACCCATCTGCTGTTTTTCAGCGTAGGCTTATTGGATTTCAGTTGAAAGCAACGTAAGGCAGTCATTCGTTCCTTTGCCTCTTCGAAATCCAAATTGCGTATCTGAGAGTAAGCTATTCGCCTCGACCCACTTGTCCAAACGACGACAACAATTTCCGAATGCACGACAGCATCACGATGGGACGGTACGAGTTATGATCGGACGCGGGTTTACCGGGTTTCTGAATGGCTATAACTCTCACTTGTCTCCAATCGTCCGGAACAACGTTCGTTGTGCTCCAGGAATTGATTGAACAAGTTCAACAAGCGCCTCTTAGTGACGTCTGGGAGGTTCTTGAGCAAGTTGAACTTGATTCGATCCATTCCTGGAGCCGAGTTGTTGCATGAAAGAAGAGAAATTGAGAATTCAAGCATCGAGAACGGGGAGTCCATGTTATTCTTTTCCACCGACGTATCGCGAGTGTTGTTTCGAACCGGAACCGAATCAGGGCAAACTTGTCTTCATTGACCGACGATGGCGCGTTACGGATTTTCTTCTATTGTTTGCGTTTATTCCTCGTTGACTTTGATTTCCAAGCTGGTCTGATAGGAAACATAATTTATCACTCCTCGCTGCAACCGGGCTCGGCAATCCTTAGGCATTCGTCCATTTGCTATTATTGCACTGTCATCCGCATATAATGCCAAGCTACAGCTGTTGGGGAGCTGTGGTATATAAAATGCGAAAATTCTGTACAACATTAGCATCAGCAAGTTGCCTTGTGGCAGTCCCGCTGGAATCTCATGGAGTTCAGAGTTGGTTCCGTGTAGATGGACTTGAAAACGTCGTTCGTTTAGGTAGCTCCTTATCATCCTGACCAGGTATGTATACAGAACAGTTCGCATGCACTAGTTTGTGGATTAATCCGTCGTGTCACACGTTGTCGAAGGCTTTCTCCAAGTCCAGTAAAGCCATGGCGGTGTTCTTGGAAATTAATTTGTTTCGTTTAATAATATTTTCCACTCGGATCAGCTGATGAACGGTGGGATGTTCTTTCTTCAAGCCGAACTGCTCCGCGATGATGACTTGGTGGTCTTTGATGTGCTCCATCAGTCGCTGAAGGATGAGCCGCTCGAAAATGTTGCTCACCGCCGACAACAGTGTTGTAGCATCTCGTGAAAATGGCAGCTAAGAAACCGTAGGCTTTGCTGGACAGCTTCTTCAGGGCCAGGTTGAAAATGTTATCGTTTACTGGGGCCTTAATATTCTTGCCACGCTTCATGGCAGCACGGACGAAACTCGGCCAGCGGGAGGGTCATCGTAGATTTGCTATTTAAGCTGATTAATTGTTTTCTGTACCACATCTTCGTGAGGGTCGATATGATGTGCTAGAACAAGCTTGATGGCGATGGCTTCTATCTTCTCTTGAGGCGAGACCTGCATCGTCCTTCAATGGTGGTATCGCTTCAGAATTTCCGATACTTTCCAGAACGGCCTTGAGTCTATCCAATTTCATTGGAGTACAGATCGTTTCGTATAGTTGCCATGCGGTTGAGATCGATGACTTGTTGTTTTTTCTGTAGACAGCCAGAAACTGCCGTCGGGTGGTATTGCGTTGCTGAATTAGTTGCCGGGTGTAGGAGTCAATCGTAGGAAATTGTCGCCTCACCGGAATACAGCATATACAGGCTTCTTCTGCGGCGTGGATGGTTTATTCTGGGGGTTGGATGGCTTCCTTGAACACCGTAAGATGGTTGTAGATACTTACAATTGTTACTTAAGTTTTTGATTTATATTCTTGAACAACGATCTCAGAGCAGAAGCTCTCATTTAAGCTGATTAGAGATGCAAGCTTCAGTTAACCATCCTCGTTAGATATAATTGGCAAAGCTAAGCCCCACAACAAAGCGTCTTTGATCTCTCAATCAGCAAATACAATCTACTTTCTTCGGAATCAAGCAGTATATCTTTGCAATTAGAACACATTTAAACTATCCTTCCTTTCAGAATATCAGCTCAGTTTATAAATTATGCTCAACATCAACTCGTTCCTTACACAATATCCACAAACTAGATTACAGTAATGATCGAATTTTGCCAGCCCCTCAACGCATTAGACTTTTATCTTTCAATAATTTTACATAGCCGTAATTCCAAATCTTAATCATTAATCATCATGATGAATGTTAAAGTTATATTATGGTGCAATGAGACCATTGAAAAGGCACATGGATTGTGTTTATCATAAAAAAGGGGGCTGGCAAAATCTGGTCATTACTGTATTATCAAAGAACACGTTTCCTTTCTTATCTCCACACCTGCTACAATCCAGCCTTGTTTTGTGGCCGTGTACGGGGCACAGAAATATAAAATCCAATTCCATAAATTGTTAAACCGAACCGGTCAGAATCGGATCAGGGTCCGGACTTACTAGAATGCCGACTTGGTCTCAAAGGATTAGACATGACTCCTCCGATCCACATGTCGGAGAGTCACGACAAAATCTCGTACAATAAATACAATACGTATTAATTCCGGCAGGCAATTTTCTCAAGGTAGAGAATGGACAAATATGGAAACATGACACTCACACGGCAATCCTCCGAGGAACCATCCCACAGTTGTGACATCGGCCAATGGAAACACGACACCAAACTCTCGTAAAGGGTCATTTGGAGATCTTTGCTGGAAGGAAATCAACCCATTCTGGACGGTAAATTCTTGGAAGGAAACGTCTGTTAATTTGCCTCTGCCTTCTCCGAATGAATTGCAATCAAAATGTGTAACATAGAATCAGCAAACCAAATTCTTCCCCCAATTCATTTCGAAGAACTGACGAACGTAAGCCGATCTGGTTTGATTTGTTAAAGTTTTCTTTGAAAAACAAAAAAAAAAATCGATTCGATACAGTGGAGGTGGAACACAAATTCACTCTCGTTAGAATCCCCACGTAAAACTTTACGATGGTTTCTCGTTGGTCCTGCTCTCCTTGGATGCAAAACAAGGTTCTGTCGTTCGGTCGAACCATATTCCACTCGGCGAGAAGGAATGGGAACCGAAAACCACCAAACATATGTACACAATCCGATCAATAAACTGTTGCTATTTGTTGCTCAGCGCACATTTCGATGGAATTGGTTGACTACACAAAGCACACCGCATCACCATTGCAATTTCATGTTTTACCGCTTGCGGGCTGCGCTGTTGAGGAGATGATTGCCTGTGGTGGGTGGTGGGGTGCAATGGCAGATGACGGGTTCAGTGTGACAAGCCACAGTGAACTTGCATCGGAAACTACTGTTCACACTGGATGGCGAGAGTTGCGAAATTTTGATTGTTTGTTTTAGGTAATCTCGGCAAAACATGATTTTCAACGTTTGCCAGAAGAAGGCATTTCTTCGGTAATTTAATATGAAATTACCAGGCATCTATGCTTGTTGCGATGAAGTGACAAATTCCATAAATGATTGAAAAGTAACAGTTGAAAATGTTGGAATAGCAATGTTTCTAATTAAGATTTTATTGAAAATTTAATACTATTTAATGGTTCTCGGTTACGTGGAGTCCTTTTGTACAATTGAGCTTAAAATATACACTAATTGGGGAAACATTTTTTACATGGCATCAATGAATTCCAGCTGAAAACGAAAATTCACGAGTAGCGATAGAAAATAAATTATTTGCCAATAAAAGATCTCATAGTTTCATACACAAAATTAAAGAATTTCCAAACTATTCATGAAATTTGAAGATACAGTAAGGATCCGATTTTGGCAGTCTCACACATTTTTTTACTTTAACGCTTTCCACAATTTTTAATAATTGAATACCTGATATTCTTATCAAGTTTATACGAAATAAATTTAAAGAGCCGAGGATTCTTGTTCACCATACATCATAAAACTATAGTCAAAAGGTACAACCCAATAAACACTGTATCTTCCGCTATCCAATAAGCCTCTTCCGTCATAATGGAACCCACTTCCAGTGGTTTCATTGTATAAAGGGTGTCCCACATCAAATTGCATCACGGAAAAAAACACTGTAGAAAATTACCCATTGGGTATTTTCTTTTGAAAATTTGGGTAGAAGTAGTTTAGAGTGTATTGTTTACACTATATTTTTATCGCTGTCAGTTTTTCGAAAGTTGGAAAAAATGGCGTCACCCGAAAAGCAACGTCGCAAATTGATTTTGCTCAAGCACCTGGAAAATCCTCAACTCTCTCATCGGGACATCGGAAAACAACTCAGAATCGTACAGTCAACGGTGAGTCGTTACTACGAAACTCTGAGCATCGAACGGAAGGAGACATGAATGGATGTTCTATTGGTGATCAGGATCACAAGCGTGTCGTGGAAGTGTTTAAGTGGAATCCCAATGCTTCGGTCAGGGATGTGGCCAAGTCTTTCGTTCAGAGAGCCAAGGACCGGGAGGGACTGCATACGTACAAAGTGCAGAAGGCTCCAAATCGTGACGAACGGCAAAATACAGTGGAAAAGTCACTGTACACCCAGCAGATGCTGACGAAACCTCATTGTCTCATCATGGATGATGAGACTTACGTCATGGCGGACTTCTGGAAGTTTCTGGGGCTACTACTCTTCACCGCCCAGCACAAATTTGATTCAAAGTGTTTTTATGTTACTTCATACGTGAAGTTAGCGTCTCCGCGTACATCGTACGGATTAGGCAAAAGATGTGCGTCCAACTAAAAAAAAAAAAATAAAAACTGTCCCATTAATGGCCCTTTGATCATTTTCAACTTCTATTCAATTTTAATACTGCCGTACTCTAACGGAACTATCCACCTACTCTTTTCTAAAGATCATTCTCTAGCTAATAAATTATCACACTATAGCTTCATGTTAGTATTTCCAACCAACTCTGACAAGTTTGATGTTCCGGAAGAAGTAAGGAAGCAGAAACTTTCAAAGTTTGCCAAGAAATACATGATTTGGCAAGCGATCTGCTCATGTGGCAAACGAAGTGCGCTGTTCGTGACTACCGGGACTGTAAACGGGGAGATCTACCTCAAGGAAAGTCTACAGAAACGTCTGATTCCTCTGTTGAAGTAACACGAGGGCCCTACGTTCTTCTGGCTGGATCTAGCTGTGTGCCACTATTCAAATGTTGTCCTGGAGTGGTACGAAACCAACGGGGTCACTTTCGTACCCAAGGACATGAGCCTCCCCAACGCACCGGAACTAAGGCCCATAAAAAAATACTGGGCTATTATGAAGCAGGCACTACGGAAGCATCCCATCGAGGTCAAATCTGAAGAAGACATGAAGAAAAAGTCGGTTTCTGTACAGAAGAAGCTGCAGCCAGATATTGTACAGAACCTAATGAGTGGAGTTAAGCGTAAGGTGTGAGCGGTTATATTGAAAAAGATCGGTCAACTAGGTAATTTTCTACAGCGTTTTTTTCCGTGATGTAATTTGATGTGGGACACCCTTTAGCAGTATCGCCAACGGAAGGCTTCCATTGCAGCAATAGACGCAAAGACGGTTGCTTTCCGAAGTCGACGACGCATCGACCGAAAGAACTGCCGGTGAAGAACAAAGAGAAGGAGGAACAATGGTTGCCGCCGAGTAAACAGAGGATCGCGTGACCCACATCGAGAGTGACCTGCTTCTATTGACAGCCGAGTGATCACTCATATACGAAAAGTCTGTGGAAAATATTGAATAGGGTTAGAGGCTTTTAACCTTTACGTGCCTAACGTCTAAATTTGCATAGATTTCAAAATTCAGTTAGTTCTTAAAAAATTATTTCTCAATCTTTTCTGCACAACAAGTTGCATTTTATCGGGAATCTATTCCAGCTTTTGAGTTAATCAGGAAAAATGTGGATCAATACATGGTTCCGAAGTTTTTTTTTTTTTTTCCTTTGGTTTGTTTTTTTCGTCGATCTTGTTTTCCGTGCTGAGCACCAATGCTACCGACGTGCCAGGAAGGCAGCTCCCACACCTGGACCCTACCTATCGACCCATCAACTCATGAACCGGGGACCAACGGCTTTACTTCCCATCCGAAGGAAGGCGTGATCAGAGATGTTATACCTCAGAACATCCCGGCGGCGCCGACTGGTATTGAACCCAGGCCTGCTGGGGTGAGAGGTAATCACGCTTACCAATACACCACCGGCGTCGTTGTGGTTCCGAAGTTGTTCCAGTATCCGTTGGGGTCACTTAGGATCGGTATCCGTTGGGGTCACTTAGGATCGGTGTTGGGAATCATCTTGAACCCCTCGCACTACAACCCTGGAATGGTCATCATCTC